CTGGGACTGCCCTCAGGGGTGCTGGGCCCCCGCGGTGTGCCGGACACCTGCCGACACACGCTTGTGCAGGTAACCCAGTCTTTGCCCACCGGAGGGGTCCCGTGTCTGTGCCGCTGGGATGGGCAGCCTAGGCCTCGCTGGAGGACTGGGAGCTTCCCCGGAGCAGCAGGGCACGGTAGGTGGGGGAGCTGAGGAAGCGGGGGTAGGAGTCCCGGTGCATGAGTGTGTAGATCTGCAGCTGAGCATCGTCGAATGTGTGTGCGGACGGCTCCTGCATCTTCTTGTTGATGCCTTCCCGCACTCGGGAGTCCAGGCTCACCTGTGGGACAGGACGCCAGGGTCAGGGGCCCAGGAGGTGTCCCCCCCCGCCACCAAACCCTTGCCCTGGGTCCCCCTGGCGGTGCACCTCCTTGGGGGACAGGATGGACACGTAGTCCTCATAGATGAGCCTGGCCTTCTCGTCCACCACGTGCTGGTTGGCCTCAGCCTTGAGCTCCTCACAGGCCAGCCAGAAGAGCATGTTCTCCTCGCTGTACTCCGTGCGCAGGAACTCCCGGAACACGCTTCGTCCCGCCGGGCTGTGCATCAGCTTGTCGAAGGACTGCGCCCAGCTCCGCACCTCCTCAGGGCTTGGCGTGGCGCTGTGGGCATTCCCCGCCAGGCCAGGTCAGGCCTGCTCCCCCACCACCCAGACACACGCACACACGGCTGGCCACACCTACCATGCCTCACAGCTGGGGAGAGGCTGCAGCTTGTTCTCCCGGGAGACCCGCCATGCTCGCCGCCGCTCTTCATTCCTACCCGCAGAGAGAAAGGTGGCACTGGCCTCCATGGAACTCCTGGCCTTGGCGCGCACACACACACACACACACACACACACACACGGGGCACGGGGACCCTCAGCTTGTGTGCGAACCCACTGCAGGTGGGCAGCTCTGGAGTCTGCACTGTTCACACCTTCCAGGGAAGGAGGGTCTGCACCTGCTGCAGCCCACCACCCTTCCTGTCTCTCCCCTGGGACCGACGCTGTCTCAGTGGTGTTCGGGAGACCCCTCCTGTCTCCTAGCCTTCGGGACTTCACTGATTCCTTGTGCGCCTCCCTGACCTGACCTCAGCCCCCACCCCTTTCTCCCAGAGGCCCCAGCTGATGCAGTAGGAAAGCCCCAGCCTGTGTGTGTCTGCTTCTCCCCAAGGGACCGTTTTCCCGCCCTTGGCTCCTCACCCGGTGTCAGGGCTGGCTTCCACATCCATGCCTCCAGCCAGATCTCCCTCCAGGGCCACTGGAATGTCTAACAGACATCTCAAACCCAAACAGACAGAGAACTCTGTTCCTCTCCTACCCTATCTGCTGGACCCCAAACTCTCCCTCGGCCCCCACAGCCAAAGTCTTAGTGCGTCCTAATTCTTCACGGCTCCCCTCTCCCGCCTCACGCCTGAACTGCTCACTAGTCAGCAGGTCCCCCTTTGATTCCCCACAGCGCTGTCCACTCAACAGCCATGGGCTGGAAGCCTGCATAGGGCCAGGCCTCTGTCAGACATGAAAACTCCCAACAGCTTCTCCACAGGCTTATAGAACCCTGTCACCACCTGGAGGCCCCACACCCGCCCTCTGGCAGGCCGCTCTGGAAGCTCATCCCCACTGTCCCCAGGCCAGGTCCCTGCTCAGTGTCCTTCCACCTAACAGTGTGTAGGATGTGCTTCTGTCTCTCCCTCTGTAGGACCCCAGGGCCAGCTCAGGCTGGGTCACAGCAGCATCAGCACGTGCTGAGTAAACGGACAGAGGAGTGCACACATGGTGGACTGGCCAGGTGGACACGGACACATGGACAGACCCTCAGGCACACCACACATGAAAGCCACACATACAGAGAGGTCTGGGCATTGGCCACTGGCCAGCGGGGCCCCGCAACCCCTGAACGAGAGCTGTGGGAGGCAGGGCCTCATGAGCCACCTGAGGGTCTGGGGGCAGGACCTGGGGCCCCACGTCTGCACAGCCCCCCTCCCCACCGTCCCTGCCCCCCACCCCAGCCCCCACATACCAGGAACAGCTGCAACAGCAGCACCAGCACAAGCAGCAGGGGTTGCGGCTGGGGGCAGCCGGGGGGGCCGCGTCATGACTGGACATCGAGGGGGGCTGGTCTGCCTCCTCTGGCCCTACGTGCTGGTGACATGGGGGCCTCCTCAGCTCCAGGCCAGAACCTGGGGCCCCCACACCTCTTCCCTGACTCCCCTCGGTGGTCACCGCCCGGCCTCCCAGGCGGTCAAGGGTCTCCCAACTCTTCGCCCCCCGCCCCCGTTCCCACAATGGGGCAGAGGCAGGGGTGGAGGTGCTGCACCTGCTTCTCAGTCTCATGCGGGGTGGGCATGGGTGGGTGGAGGAGGTCGCCCGGGCTCCGTGGTGCTGGCTCCGGGACCCTCACCACAGCCTGGGAGTCTGAGAAGAGAGGTGGAGGTTCTCACTGAGAACCTGGGACTATAGTCTCTACTTGTCCCCTGGAAGGGGTCCTTCCAAGAGCCCTGGGGGGCCTGCTCCCCTGCCCCCACCTTCAGGCCACTCTGTTCAGGCTCCTACCTCTGCCCCAGACTACACCAGGGCTGTGAGCAGGGACAGGGACAGTGAGGAGGGGGCCCCAGACAAGATCTCCACAGGAGGTTCCGGGACACCCTCATTTGCTCGGTCCCTGGGAAGCCGGAAGTCTGGGTTCCTCTTTCTTGGTTTCCGGCTCCTGGCCCCTCCCAAGAGGACTGGGGGCCCCAAGAGTCTGGGGCTACAGGTTAATGCATAAGGGTGGTAGTAAGACATTCAGACCCCCTCCCCAGCTCCCTCCATTCTGGGTTTTCTGCAGGGGGTGGGGGAGGTGGGGAGGGTTGCTCCCCACCAGGAGTCCAGATCAGTGTGGGCCCCAGGGGACTCCGGCCTGTTTGCAGCTGACTAGGTCTGCAGCATGGAGGAGACGAGTGGGGCAGGACTTTCTGAGGGTGTGGGAAATGCAGCAGGGCACAGGTGAGGAGGGCCATGAGCCTCCTGGGAACCCATGGCTCCTAGGTCCTAGACGCTGCCCCTAGCACCCCAACCCCCAGCTGGTACCTTACCTCACCCAGGGTCTCCCAGCCTCCCTTCCTCCCACCCCCACCAGGCTGTGGAAACCAATACAGCCTGGGATGCCAGTGGGGGAGGGGAGCCGGGGGGGTAGCAATGGGTTGGGGTGTCCTGCATCCTGGGTCAGAGACGCGGGATCCCTGGAGGGGGTGAGGGCCAGCATTCTCTTCAATGTCTGTACCCATGTTTCATGGTGGAGGCACCCAGGGGGCACGGGCCCTGGAGCCCCAAGCCAGGGTGAGGAGCCTGATCCCCCCCACCCCCACCCCCACCCCTGCGAGGCCAACCACAGGTCCCACCAGGGTGGGCAATCAGTGCTCTGGGGGCAGTTTTGAATGCTTTCCCACCACGGCCCCTGCCTGTGCCCACCTTGGCCTAGGTGAGGACCCACAGGGCCTGGGGTGCTCCCCTGCATGGCTGAGCCGTCCAGTCCTGTCCCCAAGCCCCATCTTGGCGGCCTGGAGGCTCATGACTTGCTTTCACTTTGTTTTCTCATGTAATTATCATCCTCCCTGCTGCCCCCATCCCTCAGCTTGTGGACTTTCAATCCCCCTTTGGTCCATGTTGGCCTCTTGGGATCTCCCAGGGTAGGAGGGAAGGGTGGGTGCTCTAGGGCTGGCAGCACAGCAGAACCGGGCTAGGCAGCTCCTGGAGCAGGGATGCCAGGACCGCGTATGAGTTATGCACACTTGGAGCACCCTTGCCTCCAGGACCTGGGCATGCAGAGGCCCTGCCCTGACCCGAATCTACGGTGGAAAGTACAGGATCCTCTGGGGCTGAGGCCCCTTACCAGCTACCTGGCTTTCCCTGAGGCCATGGGGGAGGGGACCCTCCAACTGGGTCCCACAGGCTCCAGGCAAGCAGATGGGGAAGCAGCAGCCCCACAGCTTGCCTTTCCCTCAGGGGTCAAGCTTCTAGGGAAAGGAAGGGGTGTGGCAACCTCTGAGGTCTGGTAGCCAGGCAGAAAACTGCTCTTCCTCCTCTGCACCCCCACCCACTGTGAGTGGGGGCAGGGCCCTGTCCCCTCTCCCCTCCCTAGCATCCAAAGACTCAGCTCTGAATTAGAGGAGGGGCCCTGTCTGGGGGTGCAGATCCAGGGGGCTCTGGGGCTGGAGGCTGTTTTTGGGGTCAGTGTCTTCTGTCCCAGCTGCAGGCCTGGACCTGGCTCCCTGCACCTTCCTCAGGCTGACTGGGGTCACCTGTTCACTCACTCTCTGCTGAGGTGATACAGGGTCTGAATTGGGGTTCCTGCCCCTCATCCTGGCATTTGGGAGGGGACTCGTTCCCCTTTCCCAGCTCCTTAGGCTCTGGCCCCCAAGTCTGGGTGGGAGAGGTTGGACAGGCAGCAAGCCTGGCCTCTGGGGACAGAGGTTCCCTTGGGAGCAGCTGCTACTCTGCTCCACAGAAGGAAAAAGAACGTCCCTGAGCCCGCCCAGTCCAAAAAAAGAATAAGAAAATGTGACAATCTCAGAAAAAAATGCCATAACCTTTGGGCGGAGGGCTGACAGAGGGGCTCCTTTCTCTGCTTCTGATGGCACTCAGTACGTTTCCTGTCGCTGCCCCCCATCTGATAGGTGGGGGCGCCCCAGCCTGACTCCTCCAAGGCAGGCCCGGTCTTTCTAACCCTGGTGACCCTTGCCCCCACCCCACCTCTGCAGTGGTGGGGGCAACCTGTTTCTCTCTTCCTCTCTGCTGGCAAGGTCTGGCCTGGTAGAGCTTGTCTCCTTCTTCAGGGGTCCCTTCCCCCAGCCTCTGACTGACGCCCCCACCCCTATCTGAAGGAACTCGCCACGGCGCCCCACTCACCATCGACCCAAAGGCGAGGTGGGGGCGGGAGGGGCCAGGTTTCCTCTGGGCCCCACCCTGGCTGCCGAAGGGGCGTGCACTGCAGCAGCCGGGACTCGAGTCAGACGGCAGGAGGTACTCCTGCGGCGTTCTGGAGGGAGGCCGGCGCCGGGAGCCCCGGATCAGCTGGGGCCGGGGGCGCAGTGCCTCCCCTGCGCCTTGCAGGGTGAGTGGCTGCCAGATCCAAGGGCGTGGGGGTGGGGGCGGACAGGGTGTCCCGCCTCGGCCCCTCCCCACCAGGCTGGGGGGGGCTGGAGACGCGGAAACCTGGGTTCTTCCGGCCCCCCCCGCTTTGAGCAATCACTTCCCCAGGCTTTGAGCTGCAGAAAAAGGGGAACCGGTTGCAGCGCCCCCTCCCCCACGCGCGGGGGACTGGCTCCAGTCCCGCCGCGGCCCAGGGTCCACGTGGACCCCGCGGCTGGAGTCCTTGGGGTGCGGATCCGGGCGCCAGCTCCCGAGGCTCCCGCCCCGTACGGCCTCCGGGCCCCGGGCCGGGAAGGGCAGAGCCGCCGTCCTCGGC